CATACATACATACATACAAACATCCAAACATACAAACATACAAACATACATACATATATACACATAATAGATGCATGTTTATGTAGACGTAAACAACTCGCGTATGATGACTGAAAATGGCTGCTTTTCCTAGCTATCCGAACTTCGAAATGTACAAGGCCTAAACAAATCACGGCTACGCTAAGCTAGACTGGCAAGTCGTACTAAACCTGAAACCAACAAGAACGACGACTTTGAATATTGCCCCAGGCACAGAGCTGCCAATTTCAATCGTATGTAGATGCAATGTGGGAGTTTCCGAAAATTAGGGTACCCTATTTTGGGGTCCTTATAATAAGGATCCTACTATTTAGGGTGCTATATTAGGGTCCCCTATTTTCGGAAATCCCCATGTCGCTGCGAAGCTTCACATGTAGCCGTCATTGTAGCTCATTTTTGGTTGCTACATTTTCTGTTACTTAGCATCAAGGATTCACTGAAATGGCATTCACTACAGTAAACACTACACATGGAAACTATGGCGACTATAGGTAGCTGCACTGAGGCCACGCCCCCAAACTCAGGGAGGCACCCATGCAGCTTTGGCATCGTGGAATTTTTGCTGCGCCTCTCCGACATTTCGAGTTTGGGGTTTCTCGCGCTTGGCTAGATCCTTTTCACAGTTTCTGGGGCTCTGCACCAATTCGGTGCGATAACCTGCACATTAATAAGTAATGCTTCTGTGAACGCAAGAGTCAGAATAACGGTTCCGGGACTTGGGTTTTGCGGGGTGTGGGAAGTGCTGGGGGCCTTGGGGTTTCGGGCTTTTCGGCTTGGGGTTGAATCAGGTTGAAAGTCTACGATTCTAACTTTTGTTGGGCACGCAGGATTTCAGAAGGAAGGATATGTTCGTGGCTTGGAGGCTCGGCAATGAATGTGGCGATTTAAGCCGACAACTTCAAACGCCCCAATGCCCTGAACCTTAACTTAAACTCCCAAGTTTCCAAACCCTAGATTACAAAACCCTATTCCAATTACTAAGGCCCCAATATTAGTGATAAGATACTCAATGTATGTATCTATATATATATATATAAATTCTAAACTGAACCGGCTAACCTCCTGGCCGGGCCTGCTCTGCAACCCTTCTCAGCTCCGTACCTGCGGCAGTTACTGTCAGGGCTTACACTTATCGCTGAGAGCCTTAGGCTTTAGGGTCTGCTGGTGCTTTAATTTAAGGTTCAAGTTTAGGATTGTTTTGCCGTTCATATATTTCGCTTCGGGACTCACGGGAGAAGGGAAGTTCGTCATGTCTTTGCGAGGAAGGTTCCAACCCGACAACTTGGACGATTTGGCACGTGATAGGAGGGGCTGACTGTCGCTCAAGCCCTCGGTTCGACACATTTCTATTTTGTCGTGCGTCTTCGACTACGACATACCATGGCAAGCACTCTTGCCTTGATCAGACCCAGCCCCCCAGTATAATTACAGCGGAAGTCCCAACTGTAAATGCATGAAGGCGAGGGTCGAAACCATGTTTTTGCAGCTAAGACCATCCGGTGGTATTTCGCTCCATGAAGCCTTACCGGGAGCGGTCTTGAGAATCTTTAAGCAGGTTGATTGTTGATACCAGCCTTGAACAGCCCAAAACTTATTCTTGGTACTGCTGGAAATTGAGCCCCAACCCTATAAGCCCGAAATCCACAGTTCTTAAACCCCAACCCCTTACAAATTCCCCAAATCCTAAGCCGTCAACACCGAAGCTCTGCAGCCGTTGTCTTTTTCACGGCACGGTGCGAGTTGCTCGGTTGGCATTGGGGCAACCCTGAGCTTAATGCTGCTTTGCCCCCGGATTGTTTGCCTCGTTTAGAATTTCGCAAAATTTAGCGTTCAAGATGGTTCCAAGGTCTGCACAGTGGCGAAACGAACACGGTGTCTGCACTCCTGAGGGTTTGTGGCACGCGCTGGCCGTTGCTACAGTATCTGACGGCTGCTGTCGGTTTCATTGTTCGACAACACTGCCAGCTTTCCACCTCACGTGCCTGAGGCTTGGGGTTTAGGGCTCAGGGGGTCAGCGGTTCAGGGATCTTTTTTAGGATTCTAAATGTCATTAATTAGGGGCATTCTCGGGGCAAACGAAGGACCAGCTCCGCATTACAAGAACACCTAAATACCCGTCCAATGTGGGAGATTCACAAACTACGGGACCCAAACATGGTTAGACAGCCGCACAGTTATTGGACAGGATGCCCAAGTAAAGACACGGCTTTTGGAAACCCATGTTTTCTACAGGCAAGGTCTATGGCAAAACAGGGTAGCACAGAGGCAGCCACACTGTCTCTTTGGCCCACGGGCGATAAAATTTCGGCGGGACGCCAAATCGCATGCAGGCAAGATGGAAAGGAAAATGGCATACGCGCGGGTGGCCCCCGCACATCATTGCCTACGGGGATTGAAGTGGCCGGCAGCACCGTCTTACGAATTCTGCGGCTGCATTCGCATGAGAAGAACGAATGATGTGATCTGGTGTGACGATGACTGTTGCGGTGTCATATGCCTGTAGCTGTCTCTTTTGCATTCAAGTTGTCACGACCACTGCGGTGGCAACCGCTGTGCCGAGGATGCTGACTGATGCTCTATAGCCTTCTAACCTGACCTCATGATTATCAGGAAGTAGCATGACTCTTCCTGAGTTGTTGCTTGTTTCAGCCATGACGACCGACATGCCCATCCATACCTTGGTCACACCAGTGATCCCACATTCCTGTCTTCTTACTCTCGCAATGAATCCGATCAATCCTCCAAACTTGAGCCGGGGGCGATGCACGGTTGATGACAAAGCTCCGAGCTAAAGCAACTCCAACTAGAGGACGCGCCATGGCCTCTCCACAGTAATCATACACTTCATCATGAGAGCTTCGTTGTCGAAATAACTCTGAAACCCAGGTATCATGACATCACGGTCTAGGGCTTAAGACATGGGTGTTAGAGTTCATATACGAATCCGCCGCCAGCCACTTGGGTCGAGCTTGCGTAGAATGCTTCGCACCAACTATGCACAAGCCGAGCTCTTCAAAGCATGAACTTCATTCTGAAAACTGTGTCTCACGGACCATGGGGCTGTTTCCAGAAGCTGAAATTGGTAGAAGGACTTTCATCGGGTGCCTAGATGATTTGGGGTGCAGGCTGAGGGTTCAGGGATTTAGGGCTTAGGGTTTAGGGTTTAGGGATTTAGGGCTTAAGCCCAGGGTGGCATAGGCTGCCTCTCACTTCCGGAGGATCGACCTGGACGGTTGGTGGGAGCTAGCAGTAATAAAGCCACCAGCGGCAGGGGTCTCAATTATTTTTGGGTTTAGGGTTTGGGGTGTAGGGTTTAGGGTTTAGGGTTTGTTTGGAATTTGGAATAGGGTTTGGGGATATTCCAAAAGAGTTGTATCAAGTTTGGCCACTCAGGGACAAGCAGTGCTTGTGAGATTCAAGCACAGCTGATATTGATATTTCTGATAGCACCGACGTCAGGAACAGTTTAAACATAGTCCTGGGCCCTGGGTGCCAGTAGTACTTAGGGCGCATTTCTCGAAACCCAAGATGCCGAGCCCGGCAGAAATAGCGATAGTTACGATGTTTGGAACATGTTCGAACACTCTCGCACTCGCACTGTCCGGACATACAGGGTGTATAGACTTCAGTCGTCGAATCCCATCAAGCTTACAGCCCAAAGCGCTGAAGCAGCAAAACCCCCAAATGTTAAACCCGACAGCCCTGAAATTTCGAACTCCTGCACCCTGAGGCGATAAGTCGTAGAATAGCTGTTTCTAGGGCGCCTATATCCCATATAAATCCCCTTACCATGAAGCCCAATAAGGTGAGATATCCCTACCAAATGCTTATGCTTACGCCCTTGTTGGGTCCCTAAGTTTCCGGTAACTCAAGTTATCCACCGAGATCGACTTTCAGCCGAGGTGCGCCGGAGCTCTGCAAAGGCACTCTAACTAACCTCGAAAACGCCGCGCGGAAAAGGGCAAAATAAACATCGAAAAGTCCGGGGGGGAGCTTGTAGTGGAGGTAGGCGCCTCATCATCAAAAAAATGGTAGTTTTTGGGGTTGGGCATGGCTGAAGATAGTATATTGTAGTAAGAACCTATCAGGCATAGTATTGGCAATAAATTTAGGTCACTACTTTCATGATTCCTGTACGTAGCTTAAAGCAAAGCAAGATGGGTTCAGGTAAGGCCTGGGTTTATCCCGGCTTCCCAGCAGTTCGGAATGCTAGGTCTGCTGTTTTATCCGGCCAAAGAAAATGAAATCGGTTCGGGGTTTAGGGTTTATAGTGGCTTAGCATTTAAAGTTCAGGGTTTTGAGCTTCCGACCGACCATCTCGAAAGGCCTGGATCTTTCTTTCCCCCCCCCTTACATTGCACGACACGGGCATGGAGACCGAGTCTAGCACCGAGAAGCTTGGCGATCGCCTGCTGCAGCTTTTTGTTCACGGCCTGGCACGTCAGGCAGTTCGCGATTACGAAAGATTCCTCTGTGAATGCCATCGAACTGGGTTTACCCACATGCATACCCGAAGCCTCCATCCGCACCCGAGCACTCCAAACCCCCGCGACTCCACCCAGACCACAATAAGACCGGCCGGAGAGACAGCAAATTCCGGATCGCTGGTTAGCGCGCCCTGATCAGATTTATGATCCCTTATGGGCTTTGGGGCCTCGGGCCGTCTCGAGTTTAGGATAACTTCATTCGCTTGCAAGTCGTGCTGGTAACCAAGTTTTCATGTCCGAACTCTCCGAGAGATTATGAATACCATAGAGACCTATGGATTTCTTCGTTCTTGTTAAAAGCTATGCTCACTCTTGTGGCGCTTACCGCTGTTCGCTAGGCTATCATAAACCCTAAAAGCCTAAACCCCAAACTTCTCTGCCTAGCCACCTTACGCCTGCAAGCCTCCAAGACCAGGGAATCGACTGGGGCACCACACCTCGTGAGTCAGCATGGCGTCCTCGATGTCCTGGGACATGAGTTTGCTTGCAAGCTGGCGTGCGTGTGTTTGTTGCTCACACTTGGAGTATAGTATGTTTGTACATTTTCGAACTCTTACATCTACTGCTTAGGGAGAATAGCCTGAAGATCAAAACAGAAACTGGAGTCAAAATAACGCACAAATGCACTTGACCGGAACATGCTAACACACCTCTGTAGCAGTATATCGAATGTTCTTCATGGACATAAAATTTCACATAGCTGCCGCTTCTCACGCCGATCCTCCAAGTAATGAGGGCCGAAACTTGGGCACCTGAGGGTAGAGGGCCTCGAGCCGGCACAACCTGCGGTCCCAAAGAAGCCCAAATAAAACCCTAAGCCCTAAACCCGAATAAGAGGGCTTTTATTAGAAAACACTCATATAAAACCCTAAGCCCTAAACCCTAATCAGACTTCACAGTCAAGCCTAAACGCTTGTCTTCAACCGTAAACCTCTAAGAAAGGGCGGGCATCCAACCCTAAACCCTAAACTCCTAAACAACTAAAACCCCTAAACCCCTAAACCCCTAAACCTCTAAACCCTAAACCCCTAAACCCTAAACCCCTAAACCCTAAACCCCAAACCCCTAAACCCCTAAAATGCGCCTTCGAGGCGATCTTGAACTGCGCTTCCGTCTTTCCCGCCACATAGGCCTCCCGAGGATGCCATGGTGAATCGACTCTGTAAGGGTTGCTACAAGGGCTCCTGTGAAGGACTCCTTCAAGAGTTACTATAACCCTAGGGGTGCAAAGGACTCAATAATTAGGTACTTAGGTTTCGGATAGTAGTTATGTAGGTTACTATTTGGGAGAGTATATGACTATTAGGTACTTGGACCCTTAGGGTAAGGAAGCTTATTAACCCTATGAGCCCTAAGCCAAAGCCTGCGCCGCGAAGCTCAGCACCGTGGCATCCTTGGATGCCTTGTCGGCACCGGCCTTGCTGGAAGATGCTTTGATTCTCTCTTTGTTGGCTATGGGTTTGTCAAGGGGCTTTTTGGGGTTTCGGGTTGGGGTTCATATAGAGGCCTTGATAGTTAGACTAGGGTTTGGGGGAATATTATGAAAATAATGAACCCCCAAAATAGTATAGGTCATTATTCAGGCGCCTATGGCCTATAGGATAGGCTATAGGGTGGAGTGTATGACGTGTCGAAGTTGGGTTTCAGTTGAAAAACTTGTGTGTGACTGCAAGGGACGGCAGGAATCAAGTTTCTTCGGGTCTGGAAGCTATAAGCATGGTTTGTGGTATGAATGCTGGGTGCTTGCATTGGCCAAAGACCTCTGACGCTGGCAAGGAGACTTCTCCACAAACGGGTCTTCGGTGTAATAGTTAGAACTCTCAGATCTTTGGGGTTTGAGGGTTGAACGGTTGAGCGGTTTCGGGCTTGGTCCTAATCTTGGGGCCTCAGCAACTAGACTAGGATTTTGGGGTATGTTAAGCTATATTATGTATAATTAAAAAGAAGGAACCCCCAAGCTAGTATAGGTAATTGTTAGGGCCTGTATGAAAACAGCTAGGATTATTTGCATCAGATTTGCGGCTTCCTGAGGCCCCCGACAAGCTTCTCGTACTCAGAGAGCATGAACTTGTGGATGTCCTCAGAAGGGTGGAGGGGGGCCTAAACCCACATTCCAACCCTAAACCATAAACCCTAAACCCCTAAACCCTGAACCCCTAAACCCTAAACCCATGGGAGCTATGTAGCTTAACCCAGGTTCACGGCTTTCGGTGTGTCGGGGGTGGGGGCTGGGGGATGCTTTGCAAACTTCCTTGACTGCCCCCAGAAGTGTCGCGCTTGAACTCCGGAAAGAAGCTCAGGGAATTGGGTTCCCAGAGAGAGAGAGAGCCCAATACCCCTGAATTAAGTAATAGACCTTAGATTATAGGGGCCTTAATATTATGATTTAAGGAATATTCCTTAATTAAGGGTATTGGGCTCTCTGGGTATATGCCGCCCTAGACCCAGAAAGCTCTAAATCCCCATCAAACCGGCGCCCCAAGATGGTCTCCAAACTCCAAACCCTAAACCCCAATACCCCAAAACCCCGGCCCTCAAGCTTACCGAAAAGAGCCCCTCCTTGCATGGGAACCGCAATCTCAGAGTTGAGACAGTCTGGGTGTCATGGGCTTCTACGATTGCAAATTTATATCTTACATGGTTTGGGCTTTAGGGGTTAGTATAGGGTTTACGATGTTTCAAACTCCTGGTAGGGTCTGCCGTTTCATGCGTGGCGTTCGTGGTATAATACTCAGGGTCTACGGTTCCTTGCAGATGACTCCAACCCGTAAAAACCAACAGACGAAGCGACTGCCGCTATGTAGTATAGGGGCCTAAATAATTAGAATAGGGTTTTGGGGCCCAGTATACTATGCATATAAGAAGGAGCACCCAAAATAGAATTGGTAACTCTTGAGGCCCCTACATTAGTATGAAAGGTCGACCCGTCACGGCCAATGCAGATGCCAGGCAGGGGAGCGGGCAGCAGTTCTCAAGTAGAGCCCGTCGCGGTCGCGATTCCGAAAGACGACCCTAAAACCTAAAAGCCAACACCCCTCAGCCCTAGACCTTCGGTTGAGGGCTGAGGGCGTATGAATTAGAGGCTTAGTTCTTGAAGCTTATAGTATGGCTCAGTACAAGGGCCTGAAGCATTTCAACAGGGTTTGGGGGGATCGCATTCTTGGTAGAATTGCACCGGAACTGTAACAGAATACTAACCCTGGCCTAAATATTCCCGGCCCTCTGTTAGGATGTTCAGGGCCTCTGGCTGAAAATAGGGTTTAGGGTTTAGGGTAGGTGCCTCAAGAATGAGAGTACGACCTCCACTTCCGCAGGCCTTTTAAACTCGGAGGCTTAGGGCTTAATATAGCGGCCTCAACAACTAGAATACCCCTAAATCCCCAAAGCCCCAAACCCCCGAGTTTGCAAGCCCCGATAGCTAAGAGGCTCGCTAAACCCTAAACCCGAAGCCCTAAACTCTAAACTTTAGGGGTAAGGCTTTGAGACCTCAGCCGAAGGTCCCTAAACCCTAAACCCTAAACCCTGAGACCTCAACCGAAGGTTGGTCTGAGACCGTGGCCAGCAGCTTCTTGGGAGTCAGGCTAGAGGAGGCCTGGCTCTTGGGGTTTAGGGTTTAGGGTTTGGGGTGCTTGCTTGTTTTACCTTTCGGGCTTCGGGTTCCTATGGTTTTTGCCTACAGTCTAAATGGGCACCTCTAAGGCTTTGTAAGGGGCTTTGTGGGGGCTCTGAGTTCTGGAATTTCGGGTCTAGTTAGGAGTTTGGGCTTCTCGGTTGGAGCCCATAGCAGAATTGTTTCAGGCTCTTTGAAATAGACGTGCGCAGCAACGCATGTTGCTTTGTTACATGTGTATATATGTATACACATATACACAGATATGCCCATAAACGTCTACAGAAGACTGTGCATATGTGTAGATATATATATATATACACATACACACACATAGTTGTATCGCACATACATGTACATGTGTATATACATTTATACATATATATATATATATATACTCTGAGTTAAAGATCTGTCATAAGTTTAAACATATATGTAAAATATAGGAATCAACGAATGAATGCTCGCATGAATGCCGCTGGGAGCCGAGATAAAGTCCTTGTATGCCGAAGCTTTACAACACCCTATTCCGGTAATCAGAAGACCTAGCACATCCTACAGACAAGCCTGAACAAAAAGAGCCCACGCTTTAGAATAATGTAGGGGCCTTAATACTTAGAATAAGTTTTTTTTTTTTTT